GGATTACTGAGATGCATCAGGACAAAAAAATTAACCAAGAGTCGATCATCAGATATTGTCCAAGATTAACCTTCAGGGTGGATATAGCTCGCTAGCAGCCTCGCACCGAGGACCTATCCACGTCATCATTTACCCAGAATGCTTTGTGTGCAAATAAAATGGCTCCGTCCGTGTTAAAATATATATTTAAAAATGTACAAAACTACACATCCTTTTACAGTCTTTATTTTACAGTTAAAATAAATGTTTATGAAATAAAGTCTAATGTTACAACTAATCAGGGARCCTTTAAAGGCCTTGCATTCGTTGAAGGAATGGATATCACTTGTGTTCTGAATGATTCTCACGTACACCAAATTTTAGTAGAATTTGTGTAAAACTGACTGAATTACTAGTTTGTGTTCTTTAAGACAGATTAGCTGTGGCAGCCATCTTAAATTGGGTTGATTCCAAAAGTTAGTCCAAGGTTGAACTTACCTGTAACTGAAGACTGTTACAGGTAAGTTCAACCTAATCAGACTGAAGAGACAAAGCCCTTTTTCAACAAAGAACCCGTCCAGAGGTCCTACTTAACTTTAGTTGTTCTACCTGCACTATTCAGAAGCTTCAGGATAATAATAATAATTATTATTATTATTATTTACAAAAGCCATTGACGGTCCACGTGAGTAGCCCTGCCCTGAMGTCACTCAGTCCGTTGCAGAAAACCACCAAAATGTAATAATTTGTTCTCTGTGACAACCTGCACAGACAGACAAACGAATGTTTCTGAAAACAACCTCCTAGGTGGGGGGATTCATCCAGTGGCTCATGACATGTTGTGCTAACAGAGCCAATGTGCTGGCTTCACATCGCTCTGACATGATGTTTGTTGACTCAGTGCTATATTAATAAACTGAATTGAACTGACTTCAAATAGGTAGCATGACAATGTGATTTTAAACAAAGATCTCACACAGTCAGAGTTTTCAGAATATCTCAGCTACCACCACACCAAAGACCAGGGCCGTATTTATCAAACTTCTTGGAGTGGACTTTTAGACTTAAGAGCTGAAAATGTCTTAGATTTGCTCTTACTCTCAGACTTAAGTGTAAGTGTCAGTTATGAAAAGTCTTCAGTCTAAGAATCAGTCTGACTCTGAAGAAAAGTTCAGACTGATCCAGAGGACTCTGTGGTTCAGAGTTTCCTCTAGAGGTCTGAGATGGACTGAAGACAGATTACAGCTGTCCTCCTCCCCACCTGACTGTTCTTCTGTTATAAACAGGTTTAATCTGAAATATACAAAAGATACAAAGTAAAAAAAATAAAAACTGTGCATAAAATTGGACCAAAAGGTGTATATCTGTGTGTGGCTTTTGGAGAAAATATTAAAAATACTCAGCTGGTGAGTGCATGCAACACCCCCC